CCCCCCCCGGCCGCCGGGGGGGGGGGGGGAGATGCTGGCCCTGGCCTGGAAGCTCCACCAGACAAACGGTAGCGATGGCAGTGGGAAACGCTCTGAACATGCTCAGAGACCAAACTGGCATGTTTACGATCACGGTTTAACTGTTTCGCAGACACGAGTGTGCCTTATAGGTTAGCCAGTCTGGGCTGGGAAATTGAGATCTGGGGGAGGCAGAGGTTAGGGAGAGGGGAGCCAAACTGAGCTGCCCACACCCACCAGTAGAGGGGACTTCTCTTTCTTTCCTTTTTCTTCTTATTTCCACCCCTTCCTTCCTCTCTCTCCATTTTCTTTCTTTCCATTTTTCTTTCTTTCTCCCTTCCTTCCTTCCCTTTCAATTTCTTTCTGCCCTTTCCCCCCTTTTCTTTCCATTTAATTCTTTCCCTTTTCCCCACCCTTTCCCTTCCTTCCTTCCCATCATTCCCTTCCTTCCTTTCCCCTTTCTATATTTCCATTTCTTTCACCTTCCTTCTTTTCCTTTCTTTCCATTTCAAGGACCTAGCATAGCAATGCCTCTGGGCCAGGCCCTCCCCCCGGGGAAATCGGGAAGCCCACGCCCTGGCTCCCAGGAGGTGAGCCTATTCTGCCATGGGTGAAATGGGACAGAGAGGGTGAGCTGGGTTGGGCGTGTGTCTGTCAGGCCCGGTCATCCCGGACATGGCACTGCGCTGCTTCTGATGCCATCCCAGGGTGGGCACAGAGGATCTGGGTCCTTCTGTTCTCTTCCTCCTGGCCTCCCTCTATTCCTGCTCCTTGAGTTTTGATACTGGACACATACTGGCAGGGCTATTTTTGGGCAGGAACACACAGGAACAGAGTTCCGGCTGGCTCCCAAGTTGGCCACGCCCAGCAGGAACTCATTAGCATAATAGGCCACACCCAACAGCAGAAACTCATTAGGATTGGCTACATTAGGGGTGTGTGGCCTAACATGCAAAGGAGTTCCTGCTACAAAAAAAGGCCCTGGGTTTGGACAACAGACAAGGTAAACAGAGGAAGAAGCAAAAGGTGGGTGTGGCTGGATGACCACACTTCTGGCAACATGGGGGTGTGGCCCAATATGCTAATGAGTTCCTGCTGTTGGGTGTGGCCTACTATACTAATGAGTTCCTGCTGGGATTTTTCTACAAAAAGAGCCCTGCGATACTGGTGTGTGTGTGTTATATTTTGCCACCTGCCAAGGCTGCCAACAAACCACCAGGGCCAAAGAAGGGCCTCCCTCTTTGGTACAGTTCTGAATTTTGCGAGTGATTTTCTCATCCACTGTAAGGTCCTCCATCCTGAGCTGCTGTCGGCCTCAAGGGGCGTCTTGGTCTGCCGCACCACTCTGGGCAGGAGATTTGGCACTGACGGCCCTCTGCCTACCTTGGCACCACCCTGCGGCCTCCAGCCCTGAGCAGCAGGGCACACGGCCTGCCCCGGGCACTGGGAGGGACGCCAGGGTCCTGCTATGGCCACTGAGCACCAAACGGCCCTGGCTGGCTGACCTCCAGGTGTGGGGCCTGGGGCAAGTCCCGCTCCCTGGCTGCAAGCACCCCACAGGGGGGGGGGCAGAGAGGGAATGGGGCTGGGCTCCCCCCACCACCACAAACCTCTCCGGGTCTGCTTCCTTCCTTCTTCTCTGAAGGAGAACTGCCCTGCCTGGGAGCCAGGCCACTGCCCACCTGCCGGCTCCGCTGGGGTGACGCCCCTTGGGGTGGGCGGGAGGATTATCGACTGGAAAGGCAGGAGGATGGTCCGTCCCCGCCGCCCTCCCTGGGTGCCCCTGTTGGACGCTCCTCCGCCCCCCCTGAGGAAAGGGACGCCCCCGCCAGGCCTCCTGCTCTTCAGCTGCTCTGCAAATTATGTTGGCGTGTTTGAGCCCCAAAGATGCCCCCTGGCCCTGGCCGCACGCGTCCTCTTCCTCCTCCCCAGATGTCCCCGTGCCAACTCTGGGCCGGGAGACTCCTCCCCTCCCCTCCCCGCTCTGACCCCCCGCTCCGCTTCTCTTTCTCTCTCCCTCCCTCCCGGCACAGGGGCGTCCAACACCTTCGAGACGCTGGAGGCGGCCTTCGAGGAGGAGGCGGTGCCCTGGCAGGCGGGGGCGCGCATGGTGGTGCCGCGGCTGGAGCGGCGGCGGCGCGCGCGGGAGCGCCAGGCCGCCTTCCCCTTCGGAGAGCCGCTGCCGCGCTACCTGCTCGTCTCCAACCGGCGGCGCCGCGGGCCCGGCGGACACCCGCGCAGCTACCGCCTCCAGCTCACCTCCCACGCCGACCACCTCCTGCCCCGCGGTGCCAAGGA